CCCCCTTGAATCCAGGAGGAGATCTGTTCCGCCTGTTCCATGAGCATGGGGAACGGCTTCTGGACCTGGACCGTGATTGGGGATCATGCAATCTCCTGAAGACAGGAGGGGAGTTGCTTCTGTCTCTCCTATTGTGCACTCGGTTGTTGTGCATGCGACTTGGATAGTTATTACCATCACTGGGAGGGAATGGACTATCTACGCCTCTGAAATCCCGATTTCCGCCACCATTTGGAAACCGTCTAAATCGACCCCGATATCCTCCATTAGAGAACTGCCTACGTACATAGCCATGTGGACCTGGACCTGGCTGATCAAAGCCATTCATCATACCTCGGTCCTCCTCAACGGTTTTAGGACGCGGATGTCCAAAGCCATATGGACCACCTCTGTAAATAGGTGGGGAAAAGCGACGCTTGGTATTCCAGCCGCCAAATTGTCTTCTCGCGGGACTCCTGCTTCGCATACGCATCTCTGATCTGTCTCTTCCAATAAATTTATTGGGACCAAGGTCCCTATCACTCGGCTCTTCATAACTATCAGGCCTGAAACAAGGGAAACCACTATTTTAGCAAAAGATCTATTACATGGATAAACTAAAGAATGAAATGGGAAAATAGGTTCATCATGATTAACTTGCCTTCTCCTTGGGATACTTTCATGTGAAGGTAACCCTTTGTATGGTTTTGACCCAAAGCTCCTTGACGGAGAAGATCCTTTAGAATGAGAATCATTCATGCAAACCACTACATGCTTCTCTACATCACTACTTCCTTCACGCACATTGCCTGAATCACACTTTGTCTCTGGCAAGAATCTCTGCTCAACATCCTCTAGCTTATTCTCATTAGTTTCAGCCAAAGAGTAGACTCGTTCATTCTCAGGCTCAGAGCCATAATCCACTTGTTCAACATCTCCACTATCACCCTCTTTTTCTTCCCAAGGGTATGGTTCCCTCAACTCTCCATCCTCAAACTGGGAATCATAACCAGATTGGCATTCCTTCCCATTTCGAGCAGAGGCTTCAGCCTTAGCCCCAGACGGTGATGGAGAATTCATGTGCACATCAGATTCAATCAGACCTGCCGCGTAGTCTTTACTACCATCAACGTGTCCACTCTCTGTAACAGACACAGTGACTTCTCCATCAGAATATCTTCGGGTTGCTTTATCAACTACTACATCACAAGGTTGATCCCACGCATCTGTTGGAAGATTTAAATCCCAGTGTAACCTATCATCTGTAAGGCATTCAGTGCTCTTACCCTTCCCAGTGCGCTCATCATCAGATAAAATCTCTGACACAGTAGCAGACTCACTCTGAGGTGCTAAACTTACACTATTTCCTGCTTCCATAGTTTCCTTTGGCAATTCTGTTGAGGATTCATTTGAAATAGAAACATTAATGTTCTGAGCCACTATGGTACCACTAGATGCTACTATACGCTCTTCACTCTGATCAGCAGCCGAAGCATTACCCAAAGTATCAATCAGTAGTTTTTGAGACACTATGATTTTGGTCTTGTCTTCCCCAACCTTGTCACTGGATTCAATCGTAGTATCATTCCCAGAGACATCATCAGTGCCAGATGATGAATCATTACCTTCCACATGAGCAGATAAAGTCAAAGCATCATCATGCTTAACAGGTTCAACTAGCTGACCGTCTACTAAGGATGCAATATCACTACTCATACCATTACTGCAAGCAACTTCTGCAAGTATCTTAATAGCAGAGAAGTCATGACTACTGCTATCGGGCTTATCATCGGGGATTTCTGCTGTTTTTTGTCTCAATAGATTAGGATTCAGCCTAGAAACAGGGAGAATATGGTTGATCTCTGCATGATGGTGTGAGCCTTCACCACAGGGGGTGGACTTTTTCAAAGGTGATGGAGGAGGAACCATAAACCTCCGTTTCTTAATTGGAACATGCTCTACTCTATCTGCGAAATGCTGGCCTATAACAGAAACGCCAAGCTGCCATTATTGTAAGAATCAAGCATTAGAATAAAGAAAAACCAAAAAAACTCCCTGAAGAATTAGGGAAGATAGCAGAACAAAGTGTGAAAAGAATCAGAAGAAAACCTTTTCCGATTCCGAATCTCCTTGTGCTGATGTACCAGCAGAAATTTTGTATTCTGGCTCAGTATCAGGGGCTGCAGCTCGTGAGACTTGTTTCTTAGTAAGCCTTGTCGAACTCCTACTACCTTTAGCCACTACTTTCCAAGGAAAACCAGTATTAATGGTAGCCTTAACCTCTACACTGCCAATGCTTGTCATACTTTCCAGTGCAGTTCCCTCCACGTAGCTTCGGAAATCTTTTCCCTCTTTTCGGAAATCTTTACTAGCTGACACAAGTTCTGTTTTGGCTTGCTTCATCTGCAAATTCCCAGTTTACAAGATTTGAGCACCCATAATGTTGCATTTAGGTTCCAGATAAGTAAAATGAAAGACAGAAAGAGAACCCACCCGCATTGCTGTGTTTCCTGCCACTTCCAAGGCTGTGTCACCAGCATTGGCAAAACGATTCACCCAACCTGTTAAGAGACAAAACCCCAGCAGTCACGTAAGTCTTGAAGGCCAACACACCCTCACACAATTTGATTACCAAAAAATGGATTTACCTGGGATTTTTGGCACACCAAGCCGGTCACAGAGTATATCGCAGAAGTGATTGCAATTTTTGGACAACAAATCATAAGTGTGTCCTGGCCATTCCCTGCGGAGCTCACGCAACATCTGATTTACCATGAAAATTGTGCAATCTGTCTTCCCAAGAACAATTTTCTCACGATATGTGTACATAGAGTTCTTGCCACTGGGACAGCTGAATACACCAGTTCCTTGTTCACAATAACCGTAAGACCACTCATCATCTCCGTATACCTGAACAAATTCATCAGAGATGGCAGTCAATATAATCATCTAAAAGGCACATGAAGATAACAAAACCATGAACAATAATAATCCAATGTTATATACTTATCCAGACCTAAGACATAGAACTTGGAAACCTACTACACACACACAATGACACAAACACAAACCAGATCCACTCATGTAAACAAAACCAAGAAGAGTCATCATCGATACAAAGATACGAAGATCAGTAAAGAGTAGTACCTGGATAGCGCTGTGGAATATGCCGCCAAGACCGATCCCGTCTTTGAAGAACCGATTGATCTGAACAATGGTGTTGTTAGTCTTCTCCGATCCACTGTTGGTCACATCGTATATGTGCAAAACAACCTCCGCCATTGATTCTCTCTCTCTCTCTCTCTCTCTCTCTCTCTCTCTCTTAACCAGAAGACACGAACCCTAAATCCTACCAAAATCGAGCTCGCGGATTCTATCAATAAGTCAAGAAACCAGATGAATCGTACCAAATCCACTAGCGTTCAACGAATCCAACAACTAGATCTTCCCAAAAGTATCTCAAAAAGCAAAATTAAGTTTTATCTTAATCTTTTTCTCTTGTCCCGATTTCTCAATTTCAGGCGTAGGAGATGAAGAAACTGGTGCGTGCGGCGGTGCTGGGGGGAACAATGCCTACAAAGCCAGCCACTAACTGGGAAAAGGTCATCCACAAAACCCCCCCCCCCCTTTATATTTGTAACTTCATTTTACAATTTTTTTTAGATTAAAAACCATTGAAATGTCCAAAAGCCCTATGAAATAATCAAAAACCACGTATCCAACCAGAACTATTTAACCCAACTCCAACACAATGGATTACCCGATTACTTTTTGAGTTTTGACTTTAATGCCTAAATTATATTTATTTTTTTAAAGATACAAACTCAAAAAAAAAACCCAGAGGTTTCGTTTGTTGAGAGCCTCGACTACTTCGTCAAGCGAAACCCAAACTCTCAAAATGATTTCGTCGTCGCTCCGTTTCGTCGATCCCATCACCGATGTTCCTCCGTCAATCCCATCGCCGATGCTGCTCCGTCGATCACGTCACTTTGCCTCCCTTTTTGTGGTGTCTCTTTTCGACGCCAATCCTTCTGTCATCAGAACCCTTGATTCCTCAATTCATCTACTTTCTTGTTCATATTTCGAAACAATGAAAGTTTTGTGTTTGTTCTGCCTACATAATTTTGTCAGGTATTGGTCGCATGTTGAGAACTGCAGCAGCTGCAAGGAAGCTCACAAATATCTCAATGCGCTAGAGGTGATCTTACAAATCGCATCAGTTGCTATGATCGGAGCTATGGCCGTGATGAACCAGACCACATTGTCAAAGGTAGCAAGAATTGCAGTGCTTTGTGGCGGCTGTTTTGAGTTTTGCTGCTTCGAAGTGACTATCACACTTCATCTACAAGACATTCCATTACCATGACTACAACCATGCTCTTGTTTGAAATGTATATTGTTGCACGTATACACTCTATAAATATATTCACTCCACATGGTGTACATAATACTTATATAGAAGAAACTAATTTGTGAACTCTACACGTTTGTTTCATTCATAAATCCAAAAGCCAGAGACACATGACTATTTATTTATCATCTTGATAAATGTATACTAAACTAAAATCAGCTTAACTTTTGGGGTCTGTACTCTGTAGTAAGGAAATTGGACTACCTTGTTCTTGCAATTACATCACAAAAGATGGATCATGTATCGTTTATTATGCATGAAGAACTTAAGCGAAAGAGAGCTTTTCTTCACTGACTGGATCAGTTGGAAAAGAGAATCTACCAAAACCCAAAAGTGTTACATCTTATTTGTTATGACGCTCCATTGTTTATGGAAACAACAGAGTGTTGTTGTTGTTGTTCTGCATTTAATCTGAACCGTCGGATGTTATCACTGTCTTCTCCCATTGCCTCCAAACGCCGAGGATGATGAAGAGGCCGGTGCACCATCTCATACATGTTCCCATTCTTCTCCTCCTCTGCTCCGTCA